CTGTCTCCATTTCAAATGCTGGAGCCCTTCCACGCCTGCATTTACGAGAGGGAAGATTTATTTCTTCCTGTCTCCTGGATTTTTGTGGCTGCCTTACGGTCTCTGAGGAATATCTGACACTGCTTTTGAACTCGGGGATCAGACTCTTGCCTATCAGCTGTCACCTGCCAGGCCTGGCTTTCCACTCCAGCTGCACTTGTACTTGGTACAGCAGCGAGCTGGGACATGAAAGGATGTCAGAAAAGAGAGATCATAGCAGGAGGAGTGAGATAACAGCAGGAGGAGCTGTCTGGCTCATGGTCCACGTTGGAGACCTGCAGGTGCTGCAAAACAAGCCCAGTCTTGCATCATGGGGTCAGGAGAGAGGTGGTGGCTCTTCTCCCCATCCAGCTTCTCAACCCAGTAGCAATGCTCAGGGAGTGTCTCAGACAAGAGCTCTGGGAGGGTGTTTTTGCTGCCAGGATTCAGATTATTGCAGTGGAATATGCTGTGGTGGGGTGATGATGATGGAGGGAAAGAGCCTCACCATTTGTTTCAGTTTTGCTCCTGATGAAAGTATCTGCTCATAGTTGTTGTTTGGTTCTCTTTATTGACCTTGATGGGTTTTCTTTTCTAAGCATATGGGTCAGCCCTGATGCAGTGGTGGGGAGGAGTGACTGGGGGAGGAAGGCTGGTGGCTGGTCCCCAAAGATACAGGAGCTACGAGACCCTTCCCTTCAAAATAGAGAACTTTTTAAATCTCCTTTTTTTTTTTGTCTGTAATACAATTTTTTTTCTTTGAGTGGGAAGCACCTTTATTGGGTCTTGTTCACTGAGAAGTCTGTGGAATTATTTGCAGTAGAAATATGTGGTGCAAACATTTCTGTCTCTTAATTTCGAGGCCATTAGCACCGTTTGGGTGTGCAGCTGATGTTACAGAAGTGATAGGCAAAAAAATAGGGAGTGAGCATCCAATTTAGTCTTTCCCTGCTCAGGAGGACGTAATGCAGCTGCTAACCTTGAAGGGCAGGCTGTTGTGGTAATCAGCAGTGCCCTTGAGCTGTCCTATCCATCCCACTTCCCACTTTTCTGAAGAGTTGCTCTTCCCAAGGTGCAGTTTTGTCTTGAAGAAATACCGACTTGTAGCACTGTATGAAAACACAGCAGCACACGCAGCAGAGAGCAATTCCCTGGGCAGCAAACAAGGAAAGGATTTTTCTCATTTCCACTGGATATACTCCAAGAATTCTCTCCTCAGTTTAGTTATTATCTTTCCCTACGGTGTGGAATATTCAATTAAACTTCCTCTCAAATTGGCCATAACTTTCAATGAAAATTAAAGCAGTTCTATTTAGGTAACAGGATCTGTCACCAGGCTTAATGTTCAGAGAGAATAGGAATGGTTTCACCTCTTTCATGTGAATTAACCTCAGCTGACATTCTTCACGTTTCAATTCCTCAAAAGCACAGGAAGATGACAAGCATTTAGCATCCAACTGGATGTGCTGGCTCTCAGGTTTGGGGTACTGGAGGGACACTCTTCATTTGGAATGCCTTTAAATTAATCTGGCATTTTTTAATAGATTTTTGTGATTCACTAGGGGGAAAATTATATATCTAGCAGAAGCTTGGATAGCAGAATGTTCTTCTAAATGATCTATCACGTTCTGTCCGACACCATATGGGCACACACCTCCTTCTGTGTTTAAAATGTTTCTTTTATAAGAAAGTCAACTGAAATTTCCTAGATCCTGCATCTTGCTGGAAGAAATACACTTCTCTCAAAGGAGGCACACCCAGAATAGGAGCACCTTTGTTTTGCCTAAAGTGGAGGAGAAAATGCTTTTTTGGTGTGTAGGTTGTCTTAAGCTGAGGGTGTTTCATGTTCATTCCGAAGTAACTTGCTCTGTTTGATAAAAGGACCAAAAGAGAGCCTATTAAACACAACCTGATGAGAAGAGCAAGGGAAAAGCCCTCTAAGCTCAGGAAACAGCCTCCTCCTGGCATTGCTGGGCTTCTGTAGATTGAGCCACTCGTGGGGTCCTTCAGTGATAAGCCAAAAATGTGATATCATCTCTCTTTGACTGCAAGTCCTGGACATTATTGCATAGAAATAAAGTTACCAGTTTTAATTTAAAAGAAAAGAGAAAAAAAAAGGTGTAAAATTCACATTTCAGAGCTGTCCAAATAGCAAAACTTTGCTCCCACAAAACCAGAGGCTTCAGTAGAGCAAATGCCTTTGCCTGGGCTGACACTGAGCAGCTGAGTAACATAACTTAGTCAAAAATGGGCTTTTTATGGTACAGGCACTTCTAGTTTTCTGTCTGTAAGAATCTAGATGGCAGTTTGTTTTATTTATTAGTGGCTCTTTAGTGATCCGTGAACCAAATCCTCCTCTCCTGTAAGGTTCTGTGGCTCAGCTCTTATCACACAGTGGTAGGATCTGGGCTGCAGGGATTTCAATCACACATTAAACTGTAGCAAAGGGACTCTACAGGCTGAAGATTAAATAGTTTGGACTTGCTTATCTTGGTTATACACAGGCAGCAATAAGAGAAAGAAGAAAGGCACTCAAAAATCATTTTATCTACCCAGTGTTGCAAGGTTTTTCCTCCTCTTCTGTTCCCCTGATGTGCTGGCAGCTGCTTTCAGAGGTTCTCCTGCCTCACCCAACACTGTTTGCTTGAAAGTCCCACCAGGGTTTTGCTTCTTGCTGGCTAAAAGGAAGGGAAACCATTTTTTTTTTGCCATATAAAAGCTGAATATTAACCAGTGTCAGCAGCAGGTGGAATATTTGGAAGTGGTTTCATTTGTTTTTTTAATGAGTTTCTTTTTTAGCAAACTGAGTGATTTAGTAGACAAATTAAGTTATTCAGTGTTTTCACCTATTTGTGACTGTTTCTACCTTCATAGTTCTCTGCCTTTAGTCTCTGTTTTCGAAATTGTAATACAGTACCCAGACTTAATATTTTTTCTTAGGGTGAATGAGACTGTTTAGGGAGTGAAGCAGCCCTGGGTCTCAGAAACAAGTCCAGACACCACAATCTAGCCCTGTTTGCTTTATGGTTATTATTATCCTTTTCCACCAGCAACAGCAAGTTGCACACAGGTATAATTTAAAGCTAGAGAGGATGTGAAATGTGTTTTGAATAATAGATGAGTTTCAGTCAGATATCATTAACATATAATTAAGAATAGAGATAAATACAAGTGGTGTGACTGGATGCTTAGTGTGCTCTCTTTTGTGGTGGGGCCTGAGGGAGGAGACGTGGGGGAGAAGCTGCTCCTTTTTAATCTTCCTGGCAGAGTCTCTCTGAAATGCTTCTGTGGAGAGACAGAATTTGCTCCCTGGAGTAAAGAGCTATTGTTCTGTCCCTGGTAAATCCAGCTGATTTCCCAGTGTCGGGGGATGTGAGGGCTGTTCCCATTCATTCTCACCCTCCTCCCATCGGGAAGATCCATTGTCTTCTGTTCATTCCTTTTTCTTTTTTTATTTGTTGTGCAGCCCACCCTCTTTATATTTTATTTGTTCCTTTTCCTCTGACCTCCCATACCCCCAAATTTCTCGTGTGTCCATCAAGATGGACTTCTGGCTGCCTGACTAAAGGGAAGTCCGTGCTCACATCCCTGCAAGTCCTGCCCTTGGCAGCAAGGGACCTGCAGGCACCCCATGGCCCACACAATTACCCTTTCTCTGCTGTAAAGATAGGGCAGAAACAGATTGGAAAATGTTCCAAAAATGTTAAGTCAAGGTTCCTTTCATTCAACTAAAAGACTTTCTGGCTGTGAGGAGTTTTGCTGTGTCCTTACTTGCACTATACTTTGAGGAGGCAGCCAGACATCGCCACTGATGAGCAGAAAAGTCCCGGTGAAATCAGGATGGATGAATTTTTTCAGGGAAGAAAAGTTGGTTTCTTTTATATCCTGAACAGCTACTGTGAGGATAAAACTGTCTAATACAAACAGGATGGAGAGCAGTGAATTTATGTTGTAGCTTTTTGTGAGCATTTTGGGCAATATTGGCGTATTTTGTGAAATTCGGTGCTCACTGCAGAGCTGCACTTTGGGGATGATCCTGTGAGCAGCACTCACCCTTAACTCCCAGTTTGAGAAAGGATAAATTGTTAAGGTGAAAATGGAGAGTGGTTGAGGAGAGAGGAAGGAGTTAACAGCTCAAAAGATCAGAATGTGTTTTTAAAATAAAGAACTAAAGTCAGCACAAGGGAGGCTCCTGTGAGTAATCCCCAACCTCAGACTGTTGCATTGCTGTGAAATGACTCCTGAACCCTTTGAAGGTCGTGTCAGTTTGTTCTGCCAAAATATTTTCACTCTCCTACCTATATTTAGTGTGAGTTTTTAATACTCCAAAGTGCACAGACGTGTGATGTCCTTGTCAGTACCGGTCACACCAAACACTTGGGACCCTCATTGCCAGGGTGGTGCTGGGCTGGAACCAGGGAATTCCTGAGGAATCCCGGCACAGGGAGGGCAGAGAGGGTGTGAAAGGGTCCCCTCTGAGGGGCCGGGGCTCAGTTACACCTGTGAGTGCAAAAAGGTTTCAATCAGGGATGGCAAAAACAGCGAGGGGACTCCCTGGGGGCTGGACCTGCTGGGGACCCTCCAGCTCACATTACTGTGTGACTGTATTTGATAATGTGGCCTTTTAGTTTATGAGAAAAATATTTCCATTTTTCAAGGTGAATTAAGCATTCTGACTTACACTGAGCTTTGCTGTGACAACAGGATCGTGGCTCTTCCCACTCATTTGAACTTTGGGTGAAGTTTCATTCTCCTCTCTATTTAATGCACAGACATTTGCATGAATGTTGACTCCGTGTGAGATTCGATGGCTTTGTGAAAAAAAAATAAATCTGGCGTTATAAACAAAATAAAGCGTCATCAGATCTTTTCCAAGGGGAATGATACACGGCCTCTTGCTGCTAAAACACTATTTCATGTTTCAAGAGTGGGAACATGGAGATTCCATCAATTACCTGTCCCATTTTCCCTGTTTCATGCAGATGACAACACACTGCACGGGCCGGTTTTCCTTCAGGAACCCAACAGCCTGATCTTCCCTTTGGATTCAGAGGAAAAGGAAGTGGAGCTGAGCTGTGAAGTGAAAGGAAATCCCAGACCGACCATTGGGTTTGTTGAATTTAGCTGTTTCTTAGCATTAACTGAATTTAACTGTTCTTTGGCACCATCCCTGTGCTGCAGCAGCATCGCCCAAGGGCCTTTCTCCTGCCTGGATCACTCAGGGATGCCCCTGGAGCCTGGAAACACTCTCAGGCACGTGGTGGCATTGTTGAGGTGTCCTGTGCAGGGCCAGGTTTTGATGGTCCTTGTGGGTCCCTTCCAACTCTGGATATTCCATGATTCAGGAGCATTAGAAACAGAGGAAACGCACATCAGGAAATCACCACACGTTGCAGCTCAATTGCAAAATTTGGACAGGAGCTCAACAAGGTTATGAAGGGGCAATAAACAGTCTTGGCTTTCAGATTAACCATCCTTTTGCCTAAACAGGGGCAGAGCTCTCAGTTCTTTTCAGCTTTAGTAACTGCTCTGGGATCCTTGGAGGAAGATGCTGCCCTGCTCCGGTGCTGCTGCTGCTGGAGATCACTGAGGCTGCTGCTTCCTCTCCTTTAGTGCCTCTCTCACTTTGCTCACCCAAGTAAATGCCACTCTGAAACCACTTAGAGCCACCAGGGCTCAGCCACTGGGCTCTTTTCTGGCACAATGCAATAAACTCTGTTGATTCACTGTTGCAAACACATTCAAATAGTTTCTCTGCCCATTCTGGTGGTGGAGGGGCAGCACCTCCGTCGAGGGCTGGTGGGGGTGAGGCAGCTCTAACTGGGGCAGCGTGGTGCTGGAGTTGCTCAGTGCCCCAGTTTGTGACAACAGCTGCTGTGAGTGAATTTAAATTGAAATTGAAATTTAAAAACAAACAGCCAGCAAGTCGGGAGAGGGGGGGAAAAAAAAAGCCCTCAGTGGACCTGAGTGGTTTAGAGATCCTGTTCCAGGGACTTCCCCTTGCAAAATGATTAATTCCAAAGAGCAGCAGCACGAGCAACTACAGAAGCATTAATCATTTCAGAGACTGAAATATATGTCAAGGATATTGCTCTTTCAGTTAAATACTGGAATATTTCAATACTGTGCAGGAAATTTGCATTTTTGTGCCTTTTTTTTTTGTTTTTAATAAGTAGTCAAAGACGTTCTAAATCTCTCTTTATTTACTTCCTGCTGTAGTTTGAAATACCCAAGAGCCTCCATTAATATCAGCAGAATGTAACTTTGGCATTTTGTGCTCTAGGTGGAAGTTAAATGGGAGCAGCATTGACGTGGGGATGGATTTCCACTACAGGCTGGTGAAAGGCAACCTGCTGATCAATAATCCCAATAAAACCCAGGATACTGGAACATACCAGTGTGTAGCAACAAACCCCTTCGGAACCATTGTCAGCAGAGAAGCAAAACTCCAGTTTGCCTGTAAGTAAGAAGGCAGCCTCTGTTCCCTCAGCATGCAGGAAAAACTGGGATATGTGTCTCCTTTCCAACCTTTCCTAACTGGTTATGGAGTGTCCTCGGAGCTGTTCGTGGAGCAGAGAAAGAGGGGAAATGTGAATAAGGAAGGCATGTCTTGGTTTGTCATTGTTTAGCTAAAACTATATGTAGTATACAGTAAAATATTTTTTGAGGAAGGGGCCATCTGGGAAAGGATCTGGTAAATGGGATCTCATCCCCGGGGTGTTTTATTTTCCTTGGAGAATTAAAGCTTCAAAATATTAGCAGGAGTAAGCTCTCCATAAGGAGTAAAGTCACAGTGACAGATGTCCTGTGTTTCTGTGGTACAAGTGCTCTCAGACATGGGTGGTATTTTGTAACTCTAGGTGTAAAAGGGAAAATGGGCTTCGTATTTATTTTGGGTTAAATCAGAGTTGCAGCTCCCTGTTGAAAGCTAAGGATGAGAAAAGGCACAGATCTTGCTGTGTATGAGCTTCATATGAACTTATGTAAAGCCATTTTGAGGGTAAAGTCTGTGAGAGTGGGCAAACAATGACGCAGGACCACGAGTCATCTTTTTTCTCATGTAGTTGTGAAGGTGAAGGCAGAGAATAAATACAGGGGCTTATTCATCTGTCATCTCTGATTTCTCTGTGCTGTTGTCCTGGGAGGGGTGTACACAGCAGAACAGTAATTACAGCAGGAGCTGCTCTGGAATATCCTTGGAGGAGCGTGCAGGAGTTCAAGGCAGACCCTTCCCAGACACAAAGCTCTCAGTAATGGAGAGCTTTCAGCAGAGCTTTAATGAAAGGTGCTTTTGACTGACTGGTAAGAGAAGTTGATGCGCTCCAGCTACAAAAATGAGAAGATAAAAATGCCAATAAACCCCAGGTTCACACTCTGTAGAGAGATGATTTGTAATGAGAAATAATACAGAGGGGAAAGTCAAGTCCTCTGTCTCCCTGTGTAGTTTACAATATATTATCCTCTTGCTTATGACCTGCTCGAGGTTTTTCCATGACTGAAGGTGCCTCTTCACCGTGGATGGGTAATAAACAGCTTCCTCAGGCCCCTTCTCATCACTCCACATTTCAGCATGTCAAGGTGGTTGCTTATAAACCCCCCATCGTGCTGCTGCTCTGGACACACGTGTCCTGCAGAGGCTCTGCCTTAGGAGCCGTGGGCATCACCAGCTCCCAGGGGAGCCTGGGGAGCAGCACCCTCAGGGCAAAGCCCTTCAGCACCCCCTGGCAGGGTCAGATGTTTGCTGAATCCAACCACTGAAGGACAAACCAGGTGCCAGCTTGGAGCTCCTCAAAGGCAGGTCCTAGGCTTCAAAATTCGGGATATGAGACTAGAGGGGAGGATTCTCCCAGTCCCACAGAGGGTGGGGAGGCCCTGGCACAGGTTGCCCAGAGAAGCTGTGGCTGCCCCTGGATCCCTGGAAGTGTCCAAGGCCAGGTTGGACAGGGTTTGGAGCAACCTGGGCTAGTGGAAGGTGTCCCTGCCCATGGCAGGGGGTGGCACTGGGTGGGCTTTAAGGTCCCTTCCAACCCAGACCATTCTGTGATTCCATGATTCCCGTGATTCCATGATTCCTGTGATTCCATGATTCCCATAATTCCATGATTCCTGTTGCTGACAAGTGCAGTAGCCACGGACCACTTGAGTGGAAACACATCTTCTTCTGACATATCTGGTTTGACTGACTCCTAGTTAAGAAGACTGAACCCAAAAGGTTGTTCTTTTCCGGTTAAAGTAATGGATAAATGGATAAATTTTTGATCCCTAAATTTTACTTCAGGTTGATAAAACAGTGTCATCAGATTAGAAATATTTGGATTAAAGAAATAAAAATTAGGGTTTTCTCAAGGTGGGCTCTGTGCTTTGCTAAAACAGTAAGTCTTTTTGTCTTCTCTAATCAAAGGGATTGCAACCAGAATTAACTGGATTATGAAATACAGAGTGATTTAAGTTTATTACAAAAGCTCTGCCTCTAAGCAAAAATAAAATTGGGCATCTGAAGCTTCACCCTTCGTCTGAGCAATCCCTCATTTTCCATCCTACTGTGTGGGTTTTGTTTTATCTCCTTTTCATTTCTGAGGAAAATTAATGTTGGGTCTGTTGAGACTGATGGCTGGAAGGTTGAGCTTGTTTTTTTTCCCCTCCTCCTAAGAGTTAAATTGTGAATCTTGGGGCATCAGTGATATATGTTCCTTCTTCAAGGGCTGTGTTATTCTTCTGTAGCCTTTTCAGTGCAGATTAAACTGCTGTTGAGCTATTCAGCCTCCTGTGGAGGTCAGGGAGGGTCAGCAATTTAATCCTTGAAATATGTATTTAGGTTACAAACTCATTATGATAAAAGTCCTAATATTTTTCCCCCAATACTTGCTTTGTGATGTGTCATTTACATTTCAAATTTGTCCTTTTCTCTTCTTTTTCCTTCTCCCCCTTTTTCTTTCCCCCTTTTTTCCTCCCCTTTTTTTTCCTGCTCCCTTTTTTCTCCCCCTCTTTCCCCCCCACTCTTTTTCTCTCCCCCTTTTTCTCTCCCCTCTTTTTTTTTTTTTCCAATGCTGCTTGTCTCTGAAATGGAACATATTTTCAAAAGTGAGGAATCTGCTGTGCCACAGTAACAGAACATGGATTAATGATACCCTAAGCCCTGTGCTTACAGCAACACAGGCTTTCAGAAAATAAAGCTTTAAACTCTTGAGTATGGATCTAATAATGGCTTTTCCAAAATGATATATGAAAACACAGCTGAACAAGATTAAATTATGTGCTTTTTATTTTAGGGGTTGGGGCTTAGCTTGACAATTTTATTCACTGTGCCGTAGTTTCTGTTTGGAAATAACACTGGAATCAATAAGGAGTTATGGCTGGGAAGGAGCGCGGCTCTGACGCGGCACTTTGGAGATGAACCCACCCCTTCAGACATATGATTAAAGTTGTTTACCATGGCCTGGGTCCTGCTTCCGTTTAGGATGAAGATAAAACTCGTATTGATTTTTAGTGGCACCAGAGTTGGCCCAAACCCCTGGGAAAGTGCTGAGTTTGAGGGTTGTTCTGCCTGCTCAGCTCCCGCTCCCCTTGGCAGGGCTGGGCTGGGGGCAGGAGGGCTCAGGACGGGCAGGGTGAGCTGTTGGAGGGTGTCCTTGCCAAATTGTTTCTGCTGGCTCTGAAATGATGTGCAGAGGGGAACATCCTGGCCTGGATCAGGAACAGTGTGGCCAACAGGTCTAAGGAAGTGATTCTGCCCCTAGACTCAGCACTGGTGAGGCCACCCCTGGAGTGCTGTGTCCAGTTCTGGGCCCTCAGCTCAGGAAGGACATTGAGGTCCTGGAGCAGGTCCAGAGGAGAGCAACGAGGCTGGGGAAGGGACTGGAGCACAAGTGCTGTGAGGAGAGGCTGAGGGAGCTGGGGCTGTTCAGCCTGGAGAAGAGGAGGCTCAGGGGAGACCTCCTCACTCTCTGCAACTCCCTGACAGGAGGGGGGAGCCAGGTGGGGGTTGGTCTCTTTTCCCAGGCAACTCTCAGCAAGACAAGAGGGCTCAGGGTCTTCAGCTGTGCCAGGGGAGGTTTAGGTTGGATATTAGAAAGAATTTCTTTCCAGAGAAGGTGATCACCCCAGTACCCCCCACCCCAGGGGTCTCCAGACTGTGTCTGCTCCCTCCCCACTTCTTCTGGTGGCAGATAATGCATCCTGAAGGTGGGGCTTAGCCTCTGCTGTGCTCTCCCAACAGATGGACCCCCATCTTCTCCCATGGAGCCATCCCTAACACTCACAGATTAAACATGCTTTCCCTGCTGTGATAACTAGACTCAATTTGGCCTTAAACTCCTCAGCGGGATTTGCCGTTTAACCTGCAAATTCCCAGAGATGGTGCTACCTGCAGGAATGCTGGTTTAAAACAAACCCTCTGGAGAGTGGCTGAGTGGCTGTGTGGTGGTTGTTGCCTTTCTCATCAGCACTGGTGTTTGTCTCATGCTGTTGATTTTGAAATGGGCACCAAAGAGGAAAATCGAGTTTGAATCGGTGCCGGTTTTCAGTCGTACCATTGTTTTGCCCCCTGTTGTTACAAAAACTGCCTGAAAGTGTGATGTCTGTGAAACAGGAGCTGTTAGAGAAATGGGATCTGCTTTTTAGGGGTTTTTAGCATTTTGCACACTGTGGGACCCCACACTGGGGGGACTCCTGGTGTCCTTCCCTCTGCTCTCCCTTGACAGGCTCCTCCGAAATCGCTGCTTGTCCAACCCACGGCAATTCTCTGTGAAGGAGTTTCATTTGACTCTGTGACAGGTCCATGCTAATGCTAGGAATGTTTTCTGCAGTTGGCCAAAATGATATTGAGATGTCCAGGGGGCTGAGGTACCAATTTTTAGAACATAAATGAGGTCCCAGCAGAGAGGGGAATAATGGAGGTGAAGGGAGGTGTCCTCCAAGGATGCTGGAGCAGGAGTGAAGCATCACCATGCTGCCCCTGCAAAATTTAGTAAAAGGGGCCCATGAATCTGCCTGAAATCATTTAATTTTCTTAACATGGCCCAATTTCCCCTACACAGCACAAAATCTCTTTTTTTTTCCCCATTGAATTCTTTTGGAGCCTCTGCACATCCAGGCCAGCCGGAGGTTTTGTCGTGTTGCCCAGGAGTGGCTTCGTGGCAGCAACATGGAACTCTGCAAATAAACATTATTTTGGAGCTTGAATGTTTAATTCTGCCAGTGCAGAGTCCTCATCTTTCCCAGGCTTCCCCATTCCCACTGGGATGTGCCAGCCATCCCTGATTCCTCCATAAGCAGTCGGGGTACGACCTGTTCGTGGTGTCCCCAGTTCTGCCACAATATGTTAAAATTGTCTAGGCCATCAGATAAAATTTGGGGCTAATTATGACAAATTTGGCTCAAGAGTGCACACATGTAAATTCCCTGATTCCTCCTCCAGTGCCTTTTAAAGGAAAAATGCCATTTATATCAATAAATTCTAT